CTAGGGGTATGATAATATCACTTCTGTGAGGCCCCCAGCATCTAGTGTAGCACTAATCCAAAAGTAGGTGTTCAATTAATATCTGGTAACTGGTTTCAGAATGATTAATTGACAGGTATTTTTTGTTGGTTAAAGATTTACTATCTACCAAAGATAATATATTAGATTCAGCACATGTTAGGGTGCTATGATTACATTTATTTGGTGTTAAGTCCAACAAATGTATGAGTAATTATAATCATATTAATAGTCATATGTAACCTTAAAAGATAAGCTATCTAATTAAAATAAAGTGTCAAGTTAACCTATAAGCACAATATGCCTTTGTATTCAGTTAATTCCACAAATAGTCACTGAGTGCTTACGCTGCACCTGGCAGTCAGGGCAGGGCAGCAATGATAGACAAAAGAGGCATTATCTCTAGCCTCCCAGAGCTTCCATTCAGACAGGGAGGCTCACTTTAAACAAAATTTAAATTACAATTGTGGCAATAAGTACAAAGGAGAGGGATTTTTCGCAATGGCCATATGTACCTGCTGAGCCTTACCAAGTCTCAGAGGCATTATCTCTAGCCTCCCAGAGCTTCCATTCAGACAGGGAGGCTCACTTTAAACAAAATGTAAATTACAATTGTGGCAATAAGTACAAAGGAGAGGGATTTTTCGCAATGGCCATATGTACCTGCTGAGCCTTACCAAGTCTCAGAGGTAAGACTGAAGCTCTTCACAGGTCTTGGAAAGTCAGAGAAGACTTCAGAGGGAATGTGTGGAAGAGCTTAATTTTCCACATCTACCTGTCCTAGTGATGCTGCACTAGTGAAGGGCTCAGGAGAAGACTGTACCTTTGCCTCTGCCTGCTGCAACAGTGCCAGGCCCTGCAGGAGAAGAGGTGATTGCAGCAATTCAGTTCATCCTGGGGTTTTCAGATAGCAGAAATATGGCAGAGAATGAGAAATAGCTGTTTCTGGATGCGGATGCAGTATGAACAGTAAGTTCTGAAAGTCCACATCAGAGACTGAAGTTGGCCACAGCAAAGTGAGATGTGCAGTTGAAAAATGTTTGCAGAAAACAGGAGAATCTTAATGTATCCATTTAAATGTGTTAGACCAAATCCAATCCTCAAGGACATACATTGGAATTCCCTTTGTCCTTCAGTATTTTATCCCTGCTAACAGAGAAAATAACTTTGATGGTTCCTAATATCTATCTTAAATAGTGAGAGCAAATACTCCTCACCACTTGGCCTCATCACAGATAAGAATTGTATGAGTTACATGCCTTTCACTTTTGACAATGAGAACAAACTGTGAAATGATGCTATCTGAAATGGAAAATGTGGCAATACATTCTATATCTAGTGAAAAACTCTTCACAGCTAAAATTGAAACACAAAAATGGAAAGATGTGAGATTTTGTATCCTCCTGTTATGCTCCAGAATATTATATTTATAAACATGTGCACAACTGGAAAAGTGCAATTACTCATTGAAATGAAATAACTACAATGAAAACTTTCAGTTGCCCAGGTAATACTTTATTTACTTAAATTACACCTGGACCTATATTAGAATGTTTAAAAGAGAAGAATATTATCTCTTAGATTTATTCTAGAGCATGTCAGATCACTTGGTGGCATTTTATCTGGCAGAGGGATGCTGCACCACAGGCCTCACGTAGCATACCAGTTTCTTCCTCCTTTCTTTGGGGTGTCCCTCTGATTTGTCCCTTCCCCACATTCTTGCTTACCTATGATCATTAACAGTTCATGACTACATTGTGAAAAGTGAGCCTGCACTGGCTGGCCAGACTTAGCTCTCTAAGACTGCTCTATGATATCCACCATGTTACTGATTAATTCTCCTTGAAAAAAAAAACAAAACTTAATCTTACCATGTTGTTCCCCTAATCAGGGAATTATAATGTCTTTTATCTTATTTCATTTTATGTTGCTATAACAGAATACCACAGACTGGGCAATTTATAAACAATAGGAATTTATTTGGCTCACAGTTCTGGAGATTGGGAAGTCCAAGAGCATGACACTGGCATCTGGTAAGGGCCTTCTTGCTGCATCATTCCATGGCAGAGAGCAAGAGAGCATGTGCAAGTGAGTGACAGCATGAGGGGGCTAATTTTGCCTTTATAATAAGCTCACTGTAGCAATAACTAAGACTTTTCTGCAATAATGACATTAATCCATTCATGAGGGCAAGCCCTCATGACTAATCATGCCTTATTAGATTCCATGCCCTAACATTTTTGTATTGGGAATTAAGTTTCCAACACATGAACTTTGGGGGACACATTCAAATCATAGTATCTCCTATGGGCTTTCAAACCATGAAGTTTTGTGCTATCAAATCTCTCCATCATCTGGGTTACGCATACTTAGTAAAATTTATTTCTTAAATATTCCACACTCTTTCCTTCCAGTCTTTATTTGTGTTCCTTGCCCAGTATTGTGCTCACCACTGCCTCTGTAATATTTCTTGTATGTCAAATGTCTATTCAATTATCCTCATCCTTCAAAGTGCTGCCCAAATCTTATTCCCCTGCCCTGCCCTGATTATTTTAGACTCCCCTACTTGCCATGGTCTGTTTCTTCTCTCATCCTGTTACAGCCATTTGTCTCCAATTCACAACCCACACATTATTATTATTCTATCCACTGTCTCTGCTTTATAATTTAGAGTGTTTTAAAGAAATTCACTAAGCTGAACATTTATATTTTTAATAGAAAGATAGCTACCACATAAATATTTGAATGAATGGTGTACATGTACTAAATATTTGAATGAGTAAACTTCAATATATAATTTACAGAATAACTAGCATGTTTATCCTGTAAATTGCATAAATATCCTGCAGTTATATTCCAGAATATTATGTTACTCATAAAGATAAACATACATTATTCAAAATATTGTTCACTGCTTATCTCACAGGTGAATACCACAGAATTTTAGATCCAGAATGCTCTTGGTAATCATTTATTCTAACCTCATCCTTTTACTTGAAAGGTACAGGGGCCAAAATGACACAATTAATAAAAGGCCAGAGGTGCAGTAAACCCTCATCTTATTGCAAACACAAATATGATATTTCCCACCAGGGATTGTTGTCTTACCAGCCAGCTTTTAGCCTGCCTTATGGACAATAACAAGACCTGTCTTAATTTTTTTATATTCCATGATATTTCCTTGCAAAGTGCCAAGACCATAAGGCTCCAATAAACTTTTGCTCTAAGAAGCACCATGTTTCATGGTTCTTTCTTATTATTTTTCAAAGTTACTAAATTTTCAAAGGTTACTAAGTCTTGAAAGGCATTTGAAATTATTGTAAAACATGGTTTTTTATGAAGTCTCAGTTGTTTTTATAATGCTTTTCAAAAACTCTTTTAGAGCACTTTTTCATATACATTTGGTCCTTGAACAACACGGGTTTGAACTGCATTGGTCCACCTATATGCAGATTTTTTTCAGTAAATATATTGGAATAATTTTGGTTAGGGATGTCATGAATGAATGTCATTCAAGCATCTAATCAAACAGTTAAGTAGTCTACCTAACAGTAGGCTATTAGTAGGCTTTAACTACTTAACTACTTCTTAAGTAATGGCAAGGGGGTGGACAGTGTGGTGTGGCTGAGACACAGGGGAAAGTTCACAAAGTGCTTGAGTAGTACTGAAGTAGTAAAATAGTTAAGTTTTGGAGGAGTCAAAAGTTATACGCAGATTTTCCAGTCAGCCTTAGGTTGGCATCCCTAACCTCTACATTGTTCAAGCGTCAACTGTAAGTACTGAGCTCCCTCCCAAAAAGCAGAAACAGAATGGTACAGCGAGTGAATCTATGGGTAAATGTGCAGTTCCTCAAGAGTACATAATGCCCTCATGGTGTCACACCAGAGCCAAAGGAACCTCGGGAAGTATCTTACTCCTCACATTCACCTTACCACACGATGGTTTTGATTTTTAAAAAACCCAATGATCAATTGGGTTGTGGGAGCATATCCGCATTTTGAAAGGGTTATTCTAATGAAAGCAACTATCAAAGGGTTGTTTCTCTAATGAATTTGAACTGTGTATGGAATGACAAGACTCATTGTGTCCACAACTTTTTAGAAAAGAAAAAGATTATGGGCCGGCCCGGTGGCGCACTGGAGAGTGCGCCGCTTGGGAGCACGGCGGCGCTCCCGCCGAGGGTTCAGATCCCATGTGGAGACCAGTTCCCGCTCACTGGCTGAGTGCGGTGCGGGCGCAACACCGAGGGTTGCGATCCCATTGCCAGTCCCCGGTACGGGCGTGACACCGAGGGTTGCGATCCCGTTACCGGTCAGTAAAAAAGACAAAAAGGAAAAAAAAATAAAAAATAAAGAAAAGAAAAAGATTAGTGTTTTAATTGTGGCATTTAAAGAAACATGTCTGAACTTTTATGAACTTTCAGTACATGTAATTAAACACAAATAGCTTGAATATGCATTACATGATGTGCGTGCACCTGGATGACAGGAAATGGCAGGTCTGGCTAAAGTGATCTTTCCGTGGCCTTAGGTCTATATTATCTATGGAGTTTGATGCAAAGCTCTGGAAGTAAAAAGCAATTCCATGTTAGCCCAATGTCTTTTCTGTATCGGGACAGAATTTCTGTCCTCAATGGAGCCCTTTTCCTTATTCTCTTCTCCCATTTTCTTATCCAGATCTGGGGGAAGGAAAGGGAAGTTTTCTAATTTACCTAACACCAGTTCATCTGCTCAACAGTCTGCCACTTATGCCAGTCAACAAGATAAAAACTTGCTCGTTTTAATGCTATGGACTGAGTGTTTTATATTCTATTTTATTCTATTTTTCAGACTTTATTTTCTGAGTCCTGATCAAGAGCTACAAATGTGCTGCAATGGTAACATAAACTACTGACTGAGACTGGGAGAATAGCTGAAACACCATCTTTTCTTTTACTTTTTTATGGTGCTCCTACTGGAATAAACAAAGAAAGTACATCTAACATGAGTTTTATCATGAAGCTTCACAGACACTTTCAAAGGACAGTTATTCTGCTCGCCACTTTTTGTATGGTGAGCATTGTTATTTCTGCCTACTACCTGTACAGTGGCTACAAACAGGAAAATGAACTCTCTGAGATGGCTTCAGAAGTGGACTGTGGTGACCTTCAGCACCTACAATATAGGCTAGTGGAAGTGAAGACAACCAAGTTTTTTGACGCCTCAAAGACAGACCCCATAGTCCTAGTGTTTGTGGAGAGCCAGTACTCATCCCTTGGCCAAGACATCATAATGATTCTGGAATCAAGTAGATTCCAATACCACATTGAAATTGCTCCTGGAAAGGGAGATCTCCCAGCACTTATAGACAAAACTAAAGGCAAATATAGTCTCATTATTTATGAGAACATTTTAAAGTATATAAATATGGACTCCTGGAATCGAAGCCTTTTAGATAAATATTGTGTAGAATATAGTGTGGGTGTCATTGGATTCCACAAAACTAGTGAGAAGAGTCTACAAAGCTTTCAGTTAAAAGGTTTCCCTTTTTCTGTATATGGAAACCTTGCAGTAAAAGATTGTTGTATTAATCCCCATTCTCCGTTGCTTCACTTGACCAAATCTTCTAAGCTGGAAAAAGGTTCTTTGCCTGGAACTGACTGGACAGTATTTCAGATTAATCACTCAGCCTACCAACCAGTAATATTTGCCAAAGTAAAGACCCCAGAAAATCTTTCTCCTCCCATCTCTAAAGGTGCTTTTTATGCCACTATCATACATGACCTGGGGCTTCACGATGGAATTCAGCGAGTTCTTTTTGGCAACAACTTGAACTTTTGGCTGCACAAGCTCATCTTCATAGATGCCATCTCCTTCTTGTCAGGGAAGAGGCTGACATTGTCCTTGGACAGGTACATCCTTGTGGACATTGATGATATATTTGTGGGAAAGGAAGGAACAAGAATGAACACCAATGATGTTAAGGTAAGGCTCTATTATCTCAAAGTTTCAAAGTTCAGTTCAGTTCATCTTTCAGTAGCGTTACCAACCGTCCTGGTTTGTACTAGGAGCTTCCCAGGACATGGGACTTTTATTTCCTGGGAAAGTCTGGGGCAAGCTAGGATAATTTGGCTACTCTGTCTCTCATACTAGATCAACTAAGTAGAAAATATATGTTCTCTGAATCAAGAAAAATGAAAAGTTTAAAATTAAAAGGTTGAGTGTGTCAGGATCCTGAAATGTTTTTCTATGTGTATTTATAACCATAAAGTAGAAATAATTTTGTTTAGCTACTTTCCAGAAACCATCTACCTTACAAAACTATTACAAGTTTAACATATTTAGTCCATTTAAATATGAAATCAAAATGAATTTGTTTTAATGAAAATAAATATTCCCACAAATTTTCAAGAATTATAGTTCTCATAAGTAGCAAGTTCAGATATTTTTGGAAGTCAAGTATGCAACTCATTTTTTCTTATATTTTTTTGAAACTGTAAAAATTAGCATTACTGAATGTGAAAAAATGTAGTCACTTTACTGAATGTGACTACACAAGCATATTTGCATATAAACATATAAGGATTTAAATTATTTTAATGAACACTTCTTGTATCTGTATGAAGCCCATCATTATGCATTTAACTTACATTTCATTTCTTATTGTGAAAAACTGCTGCCCTTAAACAGAAAATAAGTATTTGAAGATAGTGTATTATTATAAATGATTGTGTTAAACAACTTTTTAGAATATCGATAAAGTTGAAAATTAAATTATCTACATTTATCTTAGTTTCTCATTGAAAATGCAATAGGATTCTATCTCTGTAGTGCTACATATTGATTTCTTGTAAGAGTGAGAGACTTTTGATACATGATTTTTATTCTCCACAGATTGGATCTTTTGGTAGAATGTCTAGAACTAACACAGATAAAAAAAAATTTTTTTTTAAACTTTTCTCTAGTCACTAAGCATCTGGAAAATAATAGTAATATTCATCACATTATCACTTTGGTTAAATGAGCTAAGAATACCAGAAGGACCATTAAATGTTATTAGATAAGTAAGTCATGTTAATCATGGGATAATGAACATTTTTTTTTTTTATTTGGCACTGGCTGTATGGGGAACCAAACCCTTGACCTTGGTGTTACATGGCTGTGCTCTAACCAACTGAGCTAACCAGCCAGCCCAAGAAGTAGGCAGGGGGCACCTGGATTTGAATGAGGGACCTCTTGATCTGCAGTCAGATGCTCTACCTCTGAGCTATACCCCCTCCTAAATGTTATTATAAGAGAGTATAAAGACTGAAAAGAAAAAAAAAACTTCCATATTCTTGTCATTATTTTGGTCTCTTACTTTTAGCTCAATAGAAATTAATTAATAAAGAGGTTGTGTTTAAATTTCCATTAAGTCTTTTGAAATTTACTTTAAAAGTGTAGCTAAATTAAAACCAAACTGGTAATTTAAGCATTTGTTATGTGATTGAAGATCACAGACAATGCATAATTCTGTTTACAGTTTTTCCATTTCAAATTATTATGATAAAAAATGCTTTCAATGCATATATATTTCTGATGTTAAATTCTTTAAAACTGCCAAAAATATATTGTTTTGGAATTTTAAAATATGCTAAATAAGTCTCTGAGTTTTTTATGCAGCCTCCCTCCATATCCCCTAATATTATACAAAATGCAAAGTGCTTTTTGTGCTCTAGAGGTTAAACCATTTTTTTTCTAAAGATACAAAAAAATTAAAGGCTTTTTTTAACACATTAGAAAATAATTTAGCATGTGTATTTTATGAATTGCTCATATTTACATGGAATATATCTTCTAAACTACCTAAGGTCATTAAAAAAATGTTTTACTTTTTTATTTGGGTCTTTAAACTACTTCTAAATTGCATTTGTGATTTTGTCTCAAAACATTAATTCATTGCAGTCAGTTGCTCTGAGAGTATAAACATTCATTTACTCATTCATTCATTCATTTTATAACTAGTTATTAAGTGTGTACTACATGTGAATCACTTTGGGGGATCTAGATAGAAGATGTGACAGACTAGAGTGCAGTCATAGTAAAGCATTGTGCTGAGCATCTCTCTGTTCATTACTTGATGTGGCCATATCACGTGCCAGCCACAGAAGCAGGCACTAGGGATACAAAGATAAGCAAAGTACAGCTCTCCTCTTAATGAATTTATTGTCTTGTGGGGGAGATAAATAGGTAGATAGCTAGCAACATGGTAAGTACAATCGTAAAGTTATCTACATGGTTCTATGTGAGTAATGCTGTGGGAAACATTATAGTGTGTCCTGTGTACCAGAAACTATTAAGTGTATAGGACAGAGTTTGAAGGCAAGACTAGAATGATGTGATGATTTGGGAATCTGTGGCAGCAATTCAGACAAAAGACGCCAATTTTCTGAAACTAGGAAATGAGAGTAAAAATGGAGAAGGAAGGACCAATTTAAGGACTATTTAGGAGGAAAATCTGAACAACTTAGTAATTAGCTAAATGGAGATGAAAGAGAATGTAATAAAGGATGACATTAGTATTTTTTTAGCATAGGTGAATAATAATAAAGGATGACATTAGTATTTTTTTAGCATAGGTGAATAATTGTTGATGATACCATCAACAATTATTTAGCATAGGTGAATAATTGTTGATGATACCATCAAGAGGATCATAGTGAAGGTCATTGGAGATCATAATAAAAATTTCAGTTTTATTGAAGTGCATATGGGACAGGAAGATGTTTCACAGGTAGTTAGCTCTCAAGAGAAGTCTGGGTAGGAAGTATAGATTTCCAGATCGTCATCCTATAGGAAATAGCTCACAGCATGAAAGTGTGAGCTGAGCCAGGGCAAGGACTTACAGAGTTATAAGAGAAAATGATCGAGTGTAGAATCCTGAGAAAAATCATCTCTCACAAAACAAGTAGAGGTAGATATCTCATGATTAAGAGTTTAAAAGAATGGCCAGAGACCAGGAAGCGGTTGCTACAGAATCTCAGGAGAGGAGAGCTTCAGGGAGGCTGTGATCAGCAGTGTAAAACCCAACAGCAGGGCCTCTGAGGTAAGGACTGGCAATTCTCCTTTAGGGAAAGATGAAGGTCATAGGGGACTCCTGCATGATCCATGTGAATGGAGTGATAGAAATAGAAGCCCAGGTGCAGTGAGTTCAAGACTGAACCAAGAGGTCAAGATGTGGAGAAAGAGAGCGTGGAGTACTCAGTGGAGAAATGTTGATATGAAGGAGAAAATAGAAATTAGACAGTAGCTGCGGGGTGAACTGGTGTTAGAGTGACCATCTGACTTGGTTTGTCCAGGACTGAAGGTATTCAGTGCTAAAACTCAGAGAGTCCCAGAGTCAGTCAGTCAGTTAGTTAGTTAACTAAGGGAAGGGAAGTAATACTAAAGATTGTGAGGTCTAAGAAAAGGTCATGGATCTTGTAATTAATAGTACATAATTAATAGAAATATTTTAATCAAGTTGTTTTATTTAATCATTAACACTTATAAACAAATATTATATTTTCCCAACTTGAGTTATTAGGAAAATTGAAAAGAATGTGAGAAAACTGAAGGTCAGATAGTCTGTTACTTGCAAAATTAGAAGAATAGTGCATAATAAATTTTAACTACTAAACTGCATACATGTCATTTTTTGCTTCATGTCGAACAGAAAATGTGTTTCCTTATTTAATGGGAAGATTAGAATTAGCAATGCAATATCAGCTTTACCTACCTAGCTGTTGAATAATATGAATTCATTTTAAAGAGCCCCGACAGCTACAAAAGTAACTGTTAACAATAGCACAAAATGTGTGACTCTTTGTGCCAGAAAAATACAAAAAACAAATACACAGACCTAAGGTGATATATTCATTAGTTTAGGAAAATGCAAGCTACAGACCATAGCCCTTAAAGAAGCAAATAAGGAAATTGTTTAGATAGTTTAAATATTCTCTTTAAAAGGCAGGACTAATTTCAGTTAAATTGAAGTCAGAAAAAGAAGGCATGTGTGCGTGTGTGTGCACGTGTGTGTGTTTCATTGGACCATTGGACTAGTTTTGTGATGTTAGAAAATTCAAGTTCCTTGCATTCTAGGACCTACGTCAAACTTCCTAAGACAAAGCCTACAGGAAGGGTTTTCAGAGAGGGAAAGTGATGTTTCTACCATTTTAAAAAAAAGCTTCTACCATTAAACTTTTCACATGAAGTTTTAGTTTTACATGAAAGCACTGCATGACCCAATGAACATTAACAACCCATATTCCCTTTTAGAACCATTAATTCTACTCTTGGCCTAAGCCTGAGATCCACTATACCTTTAGACTCGGACCATTTCATATGACATTTGCACCCCAAAGGGGAAGATTCTGGTAAAGGTGGTCTTTAGAGTTTTGCTGAACTAACTGCAATTGAATACTCTCAATACGTAAAAGAGCTATTTATCACTCTCTCCCTTCTGTGTCTCTCTTCTCTCTTTCTGTAAACAGCACACATTTCCTTTCTATCTTTAACAAACTTTCTAACATCCATCAGAAAATGAAGAACCAGTCCAGTCACATCTGAGCATGCTGAAGAGGTGCCTGTAGCCCTCTTTTATATGCTTTTTCTGAAGTTACTTCTTTCTTTAGGTTCAGAGCAGCCCCTTCCCTCTCTTCACTATCCCAAACCTTTCTCACTATTTTCTTACATTCCAGTATTCCTTAACTTGGGTATTTGTGGATTAGCCCTTTAAAAAGAAGTCTACATTTTAAAAGTGGCCTCATAAGAGAGGCCAGTTCTTAAATCTTTGATACAATGTCATGAGTGATTTATATCATTATTTTCCTCTCTAACTGAAAATCCCAGAGTGTCTAGGGAAAAGAAAGTGCTGAAAATGGAAGTAGGAAGCCATAAAGCTGTGAAAAATAAGTGGTGTCAAGCTCAGAAGACAAACTTGGCTGACTGGTCAGTCTAGCTTGGGG